TCCCGGTGTGTGCGGGGCGGGGGGAGTCGTGCTGGGGGCTGGGACAGACACACGTCGGGGGAGCCGGGAGGGGGCTGAAGAGGGGCGGGGTGTGTGGCCAAGGGGGGAGCAGGGAAGTGTGAGGTTAGGGGCAGGATGGGATGGGGGGCAGGTTGCACTGAAGGGAGGATGGGGTGTTGTGGGGGGAATTATGGGGCTGAGGGGAACGAGCCTGGAATGGAGGGAAGATGTGGGGGGGGGGTCACTGCGAGGGAAAGGGGGGATGTGGGGAAGGGAGGCTGGGGGGAGACTGAGAGCTAGAGGAGACTGGTGGGGGAAGGGAGAGCCCTGGGGGCAGGGAGACAGCAGAGGGGTTGGAGAGATACAAGGTAGTTCCCCCACTCCATGGGGTAAGGGAGGGTGAGGGGGCTGCCCTGCCCAGCGGCCAGTGGGGATTTGTTTCCCTAGAAATGGCCAAACCAGCAGTGTGGGGTGGGCAGAGTGACCGTCTGTCCCGATTTGGGCAGGACAGGCCTGAAGTGCAGAGTTCAAGTCCTGGTCCTGGGCTGAATGACTCTGGGACACCATTTGTCCCGGATTCCCGGTGCCAGGGCTCTGCGCCTGCCCGAGGCTTGGGCAGCGCCAGCCTGTTCCCCGTTGGCAGGGCTGAGGTGAGCTATGAGGCCTTGCCCCTTACTCCTCTTCCTTCCCTGAGGCCCCGCCTCCTGGCCAGGCCAGAAACCAGAGTCAGGCCATAACAAGAGCCACCCAGGGACCCCAGGCTGCTTTGAGGAGCCCCAGAGCCTCCACCTACCCTGGGCAGTGCTCGCTGGGGGGTGGGGATACAGTCTGGGGGATGTTCTCTCACATCCCAGCCCCCTGCACAGGTGGGTCCGGGATCCCCGTAGTTGCCTGGGCTCCCTGAACAGCTCTTATCATTCCATGGCCCGGCTCTAGGCTCCGAGGGGTAAAGAGGAGAAGCAGGGGGTCCGGCCTCGAGGGAGAGGAGGGGCGAGGTCACAGAGGGGGTTGCGGCTCCTGCGTGTGTGCTTCTTTTGAAAGGTGGTCACCCTAAGGGTAGGGGGCGGGCAGGCGACTTCCCCCGTAGGGCCAAGAATTTACAAGGCGAATATCCACCCACAACCCTTCCCCCCACATACCCTGCTCCCAATTTCATATTTGTGTTTAAAGACAATCTCATCATTTGGGGGGTCTGACTCCTGGGCTGACAGGACTGAACAGGGGCAGGATTCTGTGTCCAACCAGAGTCACCGCGAGCCTCAAGGAGTGGAACTGGGGTTTGGTTTGGTTCGGTTCAGTGGCAGTTGGTGTGTTCAGTTCTGGTTTAAGACACCCCAATACAGTTCTGTTACCAGTCAGTGTTCGGTTCTTGTTCAAAACAGTCCAAAAATGTTTATGTTACCAGGCAGTTCCCCAGAAGAGGTGGGTGGGAGCGAGCAACCTGTTGCTTGCTTCAGTGGGGAACTGAATTTGGGGCATGGGGCCTGCCTCAGGTGGGGCAATTGGAGGGAGAAGCTGCCCCAAGGGGTGGGGACGGGTGAGAGGAGGCCTGTCTAAGGGGAAGAAGGGGCATCTCTCTGCAGGGAGAGGGGGTGTGACATGGACTCAAGCCCCTTCTGAAACCTCCCCCATTGCCCCTCTTGCCCTGACAGGCTGAGGAATCACGTCCACATTTCACTCCAGATCGTCCCATATTCCAGGAGATAGGGAACGGAAATGGCTGTGATGGAACCAGCTCAGGTAGGGGATTTTCAGGGAGTTGCAGGTGGGGGTGATGTAGACGGGGAGGGACAGGAAAGACACAGGATGAAACAGAGAGGGAACATGATGTGTAAACTCTCTGTGACACATTGAACCCGGGCCTGATTTTCTAAAAAAGTCCCATTGTCGGGGGGGATTCCCCCATTTCTGAAACAGGAAACACCCCCCTGGGGAAGGCTGGGAAAACTGACCAGACTCCCAGTGCTGGAGCCTGGACCCACTACCAGAGGCTGCTGTGAAATATGAAGGGAAGCTGTGGGGATTCCTGTCCCTGGCTCAGAGCTCTGCTTCCAGTATCAGCGTGTGGCTGGCAGGCATGTGGGAAATGAGAAGATCCTGCCCTGCTCCATGTGCTGGGGAGGACAAGGAGCTCTCACCTTCTTCTCACCCCCTGAAGCCTCCTGGCTGCTCTGAGCAGGGTGGGGGTGGGATTCTGTTTTTCTGGGCCTCCTCCCCTATAAATAGTGGGATTGTGGCTGGGGCAGCAGGTGCTGAGTATGAGATACTTGTTGTTTCAGATGCCGGTGACCTTCGAGGAGGTGGCTGTGTATTTCACTCAGGGGCAGGGGGCTCTGCTGGACCCCTCTCAGAGATCCCTCTACAGGGACGTCATGCAGGAGAACTACGAAATGGTGATCTCGCTGGGTAAGGGATTCCCGTCCCCTCGGTTATGGAGAAGCCTTGGGGTCTGCATATCTGACTCTGGTCAGGTTCTTCCCTGGCCAGTTGGATTGGAGGGAGAGGGTCGAATGGTCCACAGCTCCAATGTGAGAGACACTTTCATCTCCACACCTCCTTCCATGGAACAGGGGAGTCAGGAACCTAATGGACAGACTAATTCATCCCCACCTCTCCAGCTTTCAAGGGGCCAGAAGCAGGGGATTGTCCTGTCTGTATTATTTCTCCTTCACACACCATTCACCGTCCCTCTTGGGACTAGCTCCAGCCGTGGGGAGGGCTCTAGGTTCTGCAGGCTTGGAAATAGGCAGGAGTTTAACACCCAAACTGTGTGTGTGTGTCAGTAAGTCCCCCAAAGCGCACCTATCCTGAGACCTCCAAGTGAGGGTGTAACAACACCTCCCTCCCAGCCCCCAGATGTCTGCTGCTCCCAAGGGGTCTGAGTTACCACAATCCCATATAGGGTTTAATTAAACTCAGGGAATGTTCCTTGTCACAAATGACCTTGCCTGATTTCACCCCCTGAGCAGGGTTTCCCATTCCCAAACCTGACCTGATCGCCCGTCTGGAACGAGGGGAAGAGCCGTGGGTCCCTGATCTCCAGGCTGCCAAGGAAAGGGAAAGCCCAAGAGGCACCTGCAAAGGTGAGGAGTAAGGGAAACTGAGACAGAAACAGCTAGAGAATGAAGGAAAAAACTGGGACTCCCAAAATGTGCCATGAGTGAGAGCCCTCAATTCTGCCTCATCTCACCCAGGTGAGGGCTGCAGTCAGCAGGTGTCGTATCATCAAGCAAAATATCAGTCACAGCTTCCCACCCATCCTCTTGGCTGTCGGGAATGTCCTCCCTGACTTGGTGTTTGGGTGGGATGTGGCTGCAGAACCCAATGTCTCAATCTCCCAAACAGTCACTGTGTTGTTTGTTACCCCTCTGCTATTCCCCTTTCTGTCCTTTCTCCCCAGCACTGGCAGTGACTCATGTCTGGATTCTCTCTCCCCCAGCAGGTAATAGGACAGTGAGTGAGAACAAGGAGGAGAATCAGCAGCAGGAAAGTCCTAGGAAAGAGGAACCACAGGAGACTTTTTTGAGAAGAGCTGAAGGGAATTTTTCCCAGTGCTTGGAACAGGGAAATGCCTGGGGAGATCAACACAGGTCAGAGATGCAACTGGGAAACTATCCCAGGAAGAAACTGGATGAATCCATTCAATGTGGTGGAAGATGTAAGGATCCCAAGGAAACCACAGTCCAGCAGACAAGTTACAATGAAGAGAAACCCTATAAATGCCTCGAGTGTGGGAAAAGATTCCGTTTCAGTGTAAACCTTCTTAAACATTGGAGGACCCACACAGGAGAGAAGCTCTATAAATGCCTGGACTGTGGGAAAAGCTTCAGTGAGAAGTCAAACCTTATTATACATCAGAGATTGCACAAAGGAGAGAGACCCTATAAATACCTGGAGTTCGGGAGAAGTTTTAGTCAGAGGTCACTCCTTCTTACACATCAGAGACTGCACACAGGAGAGAGACCCTATAGATGTCTTGAGTGTGGGAAAAGTTTCAGTTTGAAATCAACCCTTAATAGACATCAGAAAACACACACAGGAGAGAAACCGCATAAATGCTTGGACTGTGGGAAAACTTTCAGTCAGCGCTCAAACCTTATTAAACATAGGGGAATCCATACAGCAGAAAGACCGTATAAATGCGTGGATTGTGGGAAAACTTTCGGTCAAAGCTCGTACCTTATTAAACATAGGAGAATCCACACAGGAGAAAGACCGTATAAATGCCTTGAGTGTGGGAAAAATTTCATTCGTCACTCAAATCTCACTAAACATAGGAGAATCCACACAGGCGACAAACCCTACGAATGCAATGACTGTGGGAAAAGTTTCATTGAGAGAACAAAACTTACTAGACATCAGGCAGTCCACACAGGAGAGAAACCCCATAAATGCTTGGACTGCGGGAAAACTTTCAGTCAGAAGTCACAGCTTCTTATACACGGGAGACTGCACACAGGAGAGAGACCTTATAAATGCCTTGAGTGTGGGAAAAGTTTTAGTCAGAGCTCAAATCTTATTACACATCAGCGAACCCACACAGGAGAGAGACCTAATATATGCCTTGAGTGTGGGAAAAGTTTTAAGCACAGTTCATCCCTAATTAATCATAGGAGAATCCACACAGGAGAGAGACCCTATAAATGCCTTGAGTGTGGGAAAAGTTTTATGGAAAGCTCATCCCTTACTAAACATGGGAGAATCCACACAGGAGAAAGACCCCATAAATGCCTCGAGTGTGGGAAAGGTTTTATAGAAAGCTCATCCCTTACTAAACATGGGAGAATCCACACAGGAGAAAGACCTTATAAATGCCTTGAGTGTGGGAAAAGTTTCAGTTTGAAATCAACCCTTAATTCACATCAGAAAACCCACACAGAAGAGAAACCCCATAAATGCTTGGACTGTGGGAACACTTTTGCTAGGCACTCATCCCTTATTAAACATGGAAGAATCCACGTGGGAGAGAGACCTTATAAATGCTTTGATGGTGGGAAAAGCTTCAGTAAGAGCTCCGAGCTCACCAAACATCAGAAAATCCACAAGGGTGAGAGATCCTAGAAATAGCTTGACTGCAGGAAAAGATTCAATTTGACTTCACACATCAGTGACCCACACAAAAGAATGTGGGGGAAGCCTCATTTGGTGCTCCCGGAGTATCCGGCACCTGCAAATCCGCACAGGGAAGAAACATCTGAGAGGTTCTCAGTGTGGAAAATGCTTCAAGTGGAGCTAACACCATGTTGGACATCAGAGACTCCTCTGCACAGCAGGGAAATTCTCTCAGTCCCCTGACTAGGGCTGGCCGTGGTGACCAACCCGTTTCCTCATTCCCACACACATCAGGGGCGTTTCACTCCCAAGGGTCCATCTACCCATCGCTGGGGTGAGGATCCAGCAGCCGAGTAGCAGCTGGTCAGTGACAGATTCCCCAGACAGAGGAGGAGAAGCCCCCATCAGCCCCTCCTCCCTGCTGCAGTCCTGGCCGCTGACCTGATGGGCCACAGGTCGGGGAAGGG